CAGGGAAGCCCAGAAAAAGACTTTTTTAAAGTGCTGTTAAGGTCTTTCTCAATGATTTATCCACTTTCAAAGAGTGTTCGCCCTCCATGTGCACTGTGGATTTAACTGCTTTGTCTATATCTTGCCATTTTTCAGACCTAGGAGTGAAAATGTGTTTCAGGTGTGAAATACTGTCTTGAACTAAGAAAGCAGGAGTGACTAAGACTCACCCAAGCCCTCCAACAGAGCCCCAAACTCCTTACCTGCTCTTAGAATTTAAGTATTAGATGCCTAAGACTGTGGAAACCACCAAACCTACAAATGATTGAGTTATTTGTAGTGAGGTGGATGGACATAGAGTCTGTCATACAGAGTGAAGTAAGTCAGAAGGAGAAAAACAAATACCGTATGCTAACACATATACATGGAATCTAAAAAAAAAGGTTCTGAAGAACATAGGGGCAGGACAGGAATAAAGACACAGATGTAGAGAATGGACTTGAGGACACGGGGAGTGGGAAGGGTAAGCTGGGACGAAGTGAGAGAGTGGCAGGGACATATATACACTACCAAATGTAAAATCGATAGCTAGTGGGAAGCAGCCACATAGCACAGGGAGATCAGATTGGTGCTTTGTGACCACCTAGACGGGTGGGATAGGGAGGGTGGGAGGGAAACACAAGAGGGAGGAGATATGGGGATATATGTATACATATAGCTGATTCACTTTGTTATAAAGCAGAAACTAACATACCATTGTAAAGCAATTATACTGCAATAAAGATGTCAAAAATAAACAAACAAAAAGCAAATTTTTTTAAAAATTGCACAAATTTCAAAAGTCTCTGGCCTATGTTCCTTGTTGGAAATGGAGCCTCCTGCCTTTTTAGTGTTAAAGGAGTCTCAGTTTCCTTCTTGAGATTATCCCCCATTATTGGATATTGATTTATTATTTTCATAAAATTGCACATGGGAGCCTGTTGCCTGAGACCAGTCATAAATTATAAAAACGTGTTCAGCTCCTCTGTAGGGACTGATCGTCTTATGGGGAGAATTACCCAGAACTAAATTTAACTGCTTTGTATAGGTTTGCAAGAAGGTTTGATGTCCCTGGCCCTCTAAGGGAAAGTAGAAAGGGGCTAACATTTTCTAACAACCTACTAGGGACCAAATTCTTTGCATGGTACTTAATTTAATGCTCTTAACACAATGAAGCACAATCACCACCTGCTTTGATAGAAGATAAAGTAGAGGCACAGAATGATGAAAGACTTTCCCCAGGCTAGTGAAGGAGCAGAGCCAGAGTCAAACCTAACTTTGTCTGCCTCTGAAGTTAAACCTCTTTCCAATTACTGCATTGCCATTCTAAAGTGGAGTAGTAATATCTCAGCTAGAGGTGGACAGAGTGGTTTTTATTAATATCAACCTAAACCTTGTGCTCTTCAAGTTCTGAGAGATTTGCTCCAAGGAGCCATTAAGAAAGGACACTGATCCAAGGGCTATCAATTAACACGTTCTTCATACACAGCTATAAGCAGCTATTTAAAACCTGGGTAATATCTTCCTAAAAATACGTATCAGTTGTCTGGGTATTTATGCCCTATCACTCTTGGTTTTCCATCCTTGACTCCATTAATAGAATTTTCCTTAATTCCCTTTCTCTTTTTATGGCTTCGCAAGAGGCTAATTTGCAGGCAAAACTGCTAATTTTACAGTTGCTTTCTGCTTCCTCAGCACGAGACTGACTGAGGAGTTATTAATAGAAGAATAGGATTCCCTTTTCATCCTTTTGCTACTGACTGTTGTAGGAGGTGGGAAAAACTCCATTATTTAATAACATTTGTTCTTCTTGAAAGGTCATCATTCCAGCCTTTCAGTTTCCACTAAAGTATAGCAGTATCAGCAGCCACAGCCACCTTCTCTTCCTGAAGGGATTCTGGAATTCCTCCAGGTTATACAGTTGGCATAAAACTGTCTTTGAGATCCTCCTTGGGAATGGGGTCCAGCTGGGAAATTCTCTCGGTATTTCTGTGCATTTTCCAAATAGTAATTTCTAGCCACAATTATATTTAAATGTGCCAGTCACCTACATTCCTGAAAAGGATGCTGAATTTGGAATATATTAGTTGAGAATTGTATTTGGCTGCTCATAGCAGAGAATAGAAATAATAGTGGCATAAACAAGAAAACATTATTTTTCACATAAAATATGTTTTAAAATAGACATTCAGGATTGGTATGGTGAGTTCACATTGTCATCAGAGACCCAAGCTCCTTCTGCCTTTCAATTTTATTGTCACTACCATGTAGTCTCCATCCTCACAGCTGACCTATGGTCTCAGATAGCCACTGGACCTATGACTATAAATTTATGATTCTAATCAGGAATCAGAACATAGAGTAAAGGGCAAAAGGGACAGATCAGCTGTCTCTCCATCACTTATGGGACTTTCCCATAGGTCCTCGCAACAGATTCTGTTTATATCTCAAGCTGTAAGGGAGACTGGGAACCATACATAGTCTTTTATCTGGGCACACTGCTGCCTCCATAGTAACTAGGGTTATCTTACTAAGAAGAAAGGGTAGGACAATATTAGAGAGGCAAATAGCATGTCTGCTACATGGAACAAAGAGAATGACTAAATAAAATTAAGCCAATAAACCCTTACTAAGCACCTATTTTATGCCTGGAGATGAAATAGAAAGTTTAGATTAATTCCTTTAAGGAACAAAAACTTACCTACATTATATACCTCATGTCTTCTTAGCCTAGAATGCTTTTTCCTTCCTTGTTCACCTGGAGAACTTGTATTAATTATTCAAGGCTGTTCTCCAATATCACCTGCTGTCTGATGCTTCCTTGGAAGATTCTTCCCAGGAAGAATTAATCTATTGCCAGGTGCTCAGCTCTGTCCCTATAGCACCTTATCCTTCACTCTACTTCACCACTTAATTCCTCAGAGGCAGTGTGCTGAAGTGAGGGTAACATGAGAAGTAGGAAATGCTGACGTCAACTCCCAGGTCTGTTGCTTACTAGCACTGAGACAGATGCTTTTGCCCTTTGGGCTACAGTTTTCCTGCTGCAGAAGAGAGAACGCTAAGTTCCACTTCAGGGACTTTTGTGAAGATTAAATGAGATTTCTTAGGAAATACTATCCAAAAGAAATTTATATCAGTTATGTCAAAATTAAATCAAACTGATGTGAAAGTCCAAAGCATTTTTTAAAATAGAAAAGGTTATTACAAAATAGTAAGTTTTAAATTCCTGGTAATTTTAATGATTCTAAATCTATATGGACTTAAGATAACCTCAACATAATGTAATGCAAAAGAATGAAAGTGAAACTTCAGATAGAAATAGATAAACCTATGACCTATTAGAATATTATAACACAATTATCTGTGAAAAATTAAGCACAAAGGTCAGTAAAGAGCTAGAAAATTTGAACAACACAACTAACATGTTTGATTTAATGAATATCTATCTATCTATCTATCTATATCAGTCTTGAATCAATGTCAGAGAACACACATCCTATTTAAACACATGCAGACTCTTTATGAAAAACTGTCCTAGGCCATAATGCAATCTCAACCGATTTCAAAGAATTGTCATCATACAGACCATCCTCTCTGACCATAATGTAACTAATGCAGTGAAAAGTTACTCGCAAAAATATAATTAAACACAATATAAAATTGGAAATTTTAAAATTTACTTTTAATGCCAACCCCAGTTAAATAAAATTCTCTACCTACTCTCCAACATCCTCACAGCAGAACTGATCAGAGAAAAATCAAAACCCTGCTGATTGGTCTCATCTTACATTCATGACCATTAAACTCAAGCAGAACTTTAAGATTGCTTGGTATTCATGCTAATTTCACTCATCCTCCTACTCTCTTATGTAACTACTCTACACCTTTTTCTCTTTCCCCAAACCACGACCCCTACTCCCATACTTCCTCTCAGCTTAGACCTTGCTTACTATTTCTCTCAGAAGAAAGAAGCAATCAGAAGATAACTTTAACAAGCTCACATCAGAAAATATATTCACCTGTTTCTTCTTTAGCTTTTCTTATGACGCATAAACTCTTCATGTACCCTATGGACTTCAACCCCTCCACTTTTACACCAAGTCCCACTTTCTGTCACCCACTCAAGAATAGCTCCTGCACTTCTCCACCTTATTTCCTATGTCACAAATTTTCATAATCACACAGACATGTAAATTTTCCCATCTTATAAAGAGAACATATTTTCCTCCATGTACTTCCCTCTCCCTTTTTACAGAAAAAAATCCTTACGGTGGCTGTGAGAATCCATCTGGTGACCTCCAACTACAGGGAGTGTAACTGACCAAGAACCCAATTGCTATGCTCTAAAATCTACCTCTACACTTGCACCAAGGCCATGTTTCGCACAAGCGACTTAGTCAGTGGCCAAGTATAGCAGGAACACTAAAGCAGGTACGTTGAGTCCACTAAATAAGACTCCTCTGATGCCTTTGGCTACAACTCTCTGATAGCCTTATGGAAATGTCCTTTAGTCACGTGGTAGTCTATGACGTGTCCATCCAACCTTCAGTCCCTTTCTCCCTCATGAAGGTCAGACTTACAAGCAGTTGAAGGACTATCCCAATCTTTTTAAGCTCTCTCCCCACTTTCTCTAACACAGGTATGTTTCCTAATAAAATCCTTGCACATTTAATTTCATCTGGGAATCTGCTTCTCAGAGGATTCAAACTAATTCACTCCTCTGAAGAGTTTACTTTCCTCACTCTCCATTCCTCTCCTCTCACTTTGTCTTGAATCCATCCTAATCAAGTTTTTGAGCCACAACTCCATTGAAACTGTTCTTGTCAGCAAATTCCAAGACTGCTCAATTGAAAGATTAAACTTCTCCATATTTTAGTTGCTCCACCAGCAGTATTTGATACAGTTCATCCCTCCCTCTTCTTCAAACTGAAAGGCTGACAGGATATACTAAACTGTAACTTGTGTATTCAACTGCTACTCACCTTCTCCATTTAGATGTTTTATACCTATCTCTGATTTAACCAGCCCAAAACTGGGGATTTGATGATCTTCCCTCCAAATATTCATTCTCTCTTAATCTTCTTCAATCTGTAAATGAACATTCCATCCTGAAAGAGGGGACACTACTACATATCCTATGGACATTAAAAGGTTAAGGAGTAATACTATGGACAATTTGATGACCACAAATGTGATAACCGAGATGAAATAGACCAGTCATTTGAAAGACACAATTTTCCAAAACTCACACAAGACAATCAGAATAGGCCTATATCTATTAAGGAAATTGAGTTTGGCTAAAGCTGGTCTTTGTCTTCTCTACATTAGTGAATCACCACTTCAAACAATTGCTTACTTTCTTCCCTGAAAAGCAGTTTCTGGTTATTGGACTGGCCAATATTAATATTTTTATTGAGTAATCAATATTCCATTTATTGAGTGTTTCCTATGAGATATTATGTTGTGCTAGCTGCTTTTGATATATACTTCTTACTTCTTTTAACAACCATCCCATTTAATGGATGAGAAAATTGTAGCTCAGTGAAATTTAGTTGTTTGTCCATTATCCAACAGTTAGCTGAATGGATGACCTGGGATTTTAAAACAGCTGTCTGACTCCAAAGCCTGTGCTTTCTCTATAGCCCCATGCTAGTGCATAAGAAGGTGCCCTAGAACCTATGAATCAATGAGATATCACTGTCCATTCACTAAAGGGTTAATATTTTTGCCTGCTCCTGTTCTAGCTTCTTGGAAGAAGATGTAGGGTCTTTACCTCTACAACATCTACCATGAAGCTCACCCTGAGCATTTGATCTCCTGCTAGTATGCTTTCTGATACATACTGGAAAATAAAACTAGGAAGCCAGGCATGGTTTAGTCATACTTGTTAAACTTTTATGCTACCAGTCAGAAATGATGTTGACCTTAAAGTTATGATTAGAAGCACACATTCTGAAAAAGAACACAGTTCAATAACAACAAAACCAGTAAGACCTGGGAGAGGCTTCTGAGAGCCCACAGATGATATGAAGCATAAACAGCTGCTATATGATATATTATTGCCTCTGGCATTCACTATTTATGGTGAAACTGTAAGGTGGTACAGTTTTTCCCTGTACACATGTTTTTCAAGAGAGAAGGAGGGAAATCATGCAATTTTTTTGTAGTTTCAAAGGGGCAAGAGAGAGGAAGTGGTTTGAGAGGGACAGAAAATATGGTCCACCCACTTCTGCTATCCATTGCCTGCTTTCCAAGCATGTGAACTGAAGTGTAAGAAGTCTGGTAAACTGGAAAGTTAGAGTTGTTACAGACAGATATGCCTTTGATATCATTTCTTTACTACATTTTTATTGAGGTAAAATATAAATAACATAAAACTTACCATTTCAACAATTTGAAGTGTACAGTTCAGCGGCATTAAGTACATTCACAATGTTGTACAACCATTACCACTATCTAGTTCCATAATTTTTCTTAATCATAAATGGAAACCACATATCTGTTAGTAGTCACTTCCTATTTCCCCCTTCCCCCAGCTCCTTGCAACTAATAACCTCCTCTCTGCCTCTACAGATTTTCCTATTCTGAAGGTTTTACATAAGAAACCTACATACGGAGGCAAAAGACCTTTACACCAAAAACTATAAGATGCTAATGAAAGGAATGAAAGACGACACAAACAGATGAAAAAATACACCATGTTCTTGGACTGGAAGAATCAATATTGTGAAAATGACTATACTACCCAAAGCAATCTACAGATTCAATAAAATCCCTAGCAAATTACCAAAGCAATTTTTCACAAAACTAAAACAGAAAATTTTACAATTTGTATGGAAACACAAAAGACCCCAAATAGCAAAAGAAATATTGAGAAAGAAAAACGGAGCTGGAGGAATCAGGCTCCCTGACTTCAGACTATACTACAAAGCTACAGTAATCAAGACAGTATGGTACCAGCACAAAAACAGAAATATAGATCAATGGAACAGGACAGAAAGCCCAGAGAAAAACCCATGCACATATGGTTACCTAACCTATGACAAAGGAGGCAAGAATATATAATGGAGAAAAGACAGTTTCTTCAATAAGTGGTGATGGGAAAACTGGACAGCTATATGTAAAAGAATAAAATTAGAACAGTTCCTAACACCATACACAAAAATAAACTCAAAATGGATTAAAGACCTGAATGTAAGGTCAGATACTATAACATTCTTAGAGGAAAACATAGGCAGAACACTCTTTGACATAAATCACAGCAGGATCTTTTTTGACTGCCTAGAGTAATGAAAATACAACAAAAGTAAACAAATGGGACCTAATTAAATTTAAAAGCATTTGCACAGCAAAGGAAACCATAAACAAGACAAAAAGACAACCCTCAGAATGGGAGAAAATATTTGCAAACGTAGCAACTGACAAAGGATTAATCTGCAAAATGTATAAGAAACTCATGCAGCCCCATATCAAAAAAACAAACAACATCAGAAATTGGACAGAAGACCTAAATAGACATTTCTCCAAAGAAGACATACAGATAGCCAAAAAACACATGAAAAGATGCTCAACATCACTAATTATTGGAGAAATGCAAATCAAAACAACAATGAGGTATCACCTCACACCAGTCAGAATGGCCATCATTAAAAAATATACAAACAGGGGAGAGACCTTCAAGATGGTGGAGGAGTAAGACGTGGAGATCACCTTCGTCCCGACAAACACATGAGAAATACATCTACATATGAAACAACTCCTATAGAACACCTACTGGACCCTGGCAGAGACCTCAGACTTCCCAAAAGGCAAGTCTGGGCCTGGCCATGTGGCTGACAGAGTCTGGGTGTTCCAGCCAGCTGCCAGGCCTGTGCCTCTGAGGTGGGAGAGCGGAGTTCATGACATTAGTCCACCAGAGACCTCCTACCTCCACATAATATCAAATGGCGAAAGCTCTCCCAGAGATCTCCATCTCAACGCTAAGACCTAGTTAGTTCCACTCAAGGACCAGCAACATACAGTGCTGGACACCCTATGCCAAACAACTAGCAAGACAACAACACAACACAACCCAGTAGCAGAGAGGCTGCATGAAATCATAATAAGGTCATAGATACCCCAAAACACACCACCAGACACAGTCCCACCCACGAGAAAGACAAGATCCAGCCTCATCCACCAGAACACAGGCACCAGTCCCCTCCACCAGAAAGCCTACACAAGCCCCTGAACCAACCTTACCCACTGGGGGCAGACAACAAAAACAACGGGAACTATGAACCTGCAACCTGCAAAAAGGATATCCCCAAACACAGTAACTTAAGCAAAATGAGAACACAGAAAAACACACAGCAGATGAAGGAGCAAGGTAAAAACCCACCTGACCAAACACATGAAGAAGAAATAGGCAGTCTACCTGAAAAAGAATTCAGAGTAATGACAGTAAAGATGATCCAAAATCTCGAAATAGAATGGAGAATATACAAGAAACGTTTACAAGGATCTAGGAGAACTAAAGAGCAAACAATGATGAACAACACAATAAATGAAATTTAAAATTCTCTACAAGGAATCAACAGCAGAATAAATGAGGCAGAAGAACGGATAGGTGACCAGGAAGATAAAATAGTGGAAATAACTACTGCAGAGCAGAATAAAAAAAAATGAATGAAAAGAATTGAGGACAGTCTCAGAGACCTCTGGGATAATAATAAACACATCAACATTCAAATTATAGGGGTCCCAGAAGCAGAAGAGAAAAAGAAAGGGACTGTGAAAATATTTGAAGAGATTGTAGCTGAAAACTTCCCTAATATGGGAAAGGAAATAGTTAATCAAGTCCAGGAAGCACAGAGAGTCCCATACAGGATAAATCCAAGGAGAAACAGGCCAAGACACATATTAATCAAACTATCAAAAATTAAATACAAAGAACAAATATTAAAAGCAGCAAGGGAAAAACAAGTAAAACATAAGGGAATCCCCATAAGGTTAACAGCTGATCTTTCAGCAGAAACTCTGCAAGTCAGAAGGGAGTGGCAGGACATATTTAAAGTGATGAAAGAGAAAAACCTACAACCAAGATTACTCTACCAGGCAAGGATCTCATTCAGATTTGACGGAGAAATTAAAAGCTTTATAGACAAGCAGAAGGAAAGACAATTCAGCACCACCAAACCAGCTTTACAACAAATGCTAAAGGAACTTCTTTATGCAGGAAACACAAGAAAAGAGAAAGACCTACAATAATAAACCCAAAACAATTAAGAAAACAGTAATAGGAACATACATATCAATAATTACCTTAAATGTAAATGGATTAAATGCTCCAACCAAAAGACATAGACTGGCTGAACAGATACAAAAACAAGACCCGTATATATGCTGTCTACAAGAGACCCACTTCAGACCTAGGGACACATACGACTGAGAGTGAGGGGATGGAAAATGATATTCCATTTAATCTCCAAAATTTACAAGCATCTCATGCAGCTCAATATCAAAAGAGCAAACAATGCAATCCAAAAATAGCAGAAGACCTATATAGATATTTCTCCAAAGAAGATATACAGATTGCCAACAAACACATGAAACGATGCTCAACATCACTAATCATTAGAGTAATGCAAATCAAAACTACAATGAAGTATCACCTCACACTGATCAGAATACCCATCATCAAAAAATCTACAAACAGGGCTTCCCTGGTGGTGCAGTGGTTGAGAGTCCACCTGCCGATGCAGGGGACATGAGTTCGTGGCCCGCTCTGGGAAGATCCCACAAGCCGCTGGGGCCGTGAGCCATGGCCGCTGAGCCTGTGCTCCACAAAAGGAGAGGCCACAACAGTGAGAGGCCTGTGTACCACACACACAAAAAAAAGAAAATCTACAAACAATAAATGCTGGAAAGGGTGTGGAGAAAAGGGAACCCTCATGCACTGTTGGTGGGAATGTAAATTGATACAGCCACTATGGAGAACAGTATGGAGTTTCCTTAAAAAACTACAAATAGAGGCTTTCCTCATGGCACAGTGGTTGAGAGTCTGCCTGACAATGCAGGGGACATGGGTTCGTGCCCCGGTCCAGGAA